TGTGATGGAGTGCAATTCCAACAACACTGCAGAAGCCCAAAACATCCAGGCCTTTGTCCAGAAACAATCACAAGTATTTACTCTCTCTATCATTGATGCTCAGTAGCAACAGACTGTAACATATACAAGCTACACTGCAGAGATTTGCCAAGACTTCTTATTCAGAACCTTCCAAAGCCACAACCCCTTCCATTTAGAAAGACATGGACAAGAGATACAGGGAAACACCACTACCTGCAAGTTTCCTTCCAAGCCACACACAGTCCTGACTTGGAAATATATTGCTGCTCCTTCATGGTCTCTGGGTCAGCATCCTGGAACTTCCTGCCTAATGACATTGTGAGTCTACCTACAACAAATGGACTGCAATGGTTTAAGAATGCAATTCACCTCCACCTTCTCAAAGGCAACTAGAGATGAGCAATAAATGCTGGCCCAGCCAGTGATACCAACATCTCATAAGTAAATACATTTTTAAAAATGGCTGACTTAGGTTTCAACTCTTGTTTCTCACCTGCTCCCCAAGGACTTCCTGAGAGTTCAGCCCCAAATATACTGCACAATGGCCCATTCACAACCTCTGGGTAAATACTTCTTAAGAGTCACAACCCTTTCAGTGGATAAATTTCTCCTCATCCCAGCCATAAAAAGATAAGCCCCTCATCTGGAACATGCTCTCAACTCTGGGAAACAACATTTCAAGTTCTTTCACATTGTTTACTTCAAGGCATACTTCTTTCCCAGCTACAATGAACACAGTTTCTTCCACTCTTGTACATTCACACATTTTACTGTAATCATTCCTATTTGATTGAAACAAACTTTGTTAGCCTTATCAGTTAGTTGCAAGTTTTGTTGTAGAAGGTGACACAACTTTGCGATAGTCTTCCCTGAAAAGCATAAACTCCTATGTACTGTTCATCAGAGAATGCGAGGTATACTCTCTTGGGCCTACACACTCTGCTGGATGAGTAAGGGTTCATGCAAACTTTTCTTCTCCCATTTGTCCTCACTTACAGCTTCAGCTTTGTTTCTTTCTTCTGTTGTTTTACACCACAAGACAGAGTGAACACCTCAGAAGGATCTCTCATGACAAAGTCCTTTACCAGACTTTTGTACAGCAAGTACAACCATTGCAAAAACTTTAAGTAGCAAACAACACTTAAAGTAAAACATCTCTGAAAATGTTGCAGCATTTTATCTAGTAGTTGGCAAGAATCCATTTAAATACTTCTGTCAAAACTGACTGGTGTACTCAATGGTTTATAGATTGTTAAAGAATTATTGGTAGCAACTATGAAGAGTGAAAGGGGTTGGGGGCTCAACAGCTGATTGTCATTGAGAGGTGCTCCTGCCTGAAGGGAATGTTTCATTTCCAACATTTCAGGTGTAATTTGACATGTTTTCAGCTAACTGTTAATTTCACCAATTTTCATGGGGACAGGGAGGGCTGACTCTGTGAGGCTTAGCAAGGTTTTTCACTATATTATCCTAAATGCAACTCATTGACTACCAATCCCATCATTATGACATTCTGATGCAAGTCTGATTCTCCATTCACTGTAGCTGGAAGTTTTTGTCACTACCGGGATATCCAGGGAAAACCCAGCATCTCTGGTAGTGGTGCCATTTTCAAAAGGCTGTTGTACACCCAGACATGGCTGGCATTCTACAGCTGCTCTTCGAGTGAAATTTGCACTGCGCTTCGCTGACAGGGATCTTGAGGCCTGGTGAACTCTAATGCAGAGGAGGGCTATCCTCTTCTCCCAGGGCCAATAGAGAAGCCCATGACACCAGACCCTGCCAGCCCGATGTGAGGTCATGACCCACAGTCTCTGCAGTCTGCCGGAATACATGGCAGTGCAGGAAGAATGTCAGTAACCATGGCACATGCTCTACAATTCTCACTGCTGCACTCAACACTATTCCCCAACCTCCTCATCTACCACAAACCCACCCGCACTACTAACGCTGTACGGCCTCTGCAATGCCTACTTACTCAGTCAGGGCCCACGATCAAGGTTGTGAAAATCGGGACCATAGTCTCAAAAATAAAGTAAGTTATGTAGATTAAAGAGATAAAGTTTAAACTTGAAAAAATATCTAACAATTGAAAATACATCTAACAATTTAAAGACTGCATGAATGAGACTGCATATTCTATTGAGGAGCATAATTTTCTACCGTGAGTTTAAATGCCAATTAATGCACAAATGTTCTAACTTCATGAAACTCATGAGAAAGAGGAACGGGATTGGGGTGGTCTATTAACTTATGTAATGCTAATGGCAGCCTAGCACAAATTGTCCAGTAACTTGAAATTATTCACAGTCCTCTTCCCTGTCACAATAATTTGCACATCGAAAGTGGTGAGCACCATTAAACCCTGCTACTTTGACGCCACATCATAGAATCTCTACAGTGCAGAAAGAGGCCATTCAGCCCATCGTGTCTGCACCAACCCTCCGAACAGCATCTCACCCAGACCCAAGCCCCTACCTTTTCCCTGTAGCCCCTTAGGCTAGGGCCATATGCAAGCTTGAACTGTTACATTGTAGCCTTGATTCTCAAAGATTTAGCAAGAAGCAAAATAATGACTTAAGTTCGAAAATTATCCTTTTATCCTGATATATTCTCAATTTGGTGCCATGTTTCTATTTATACTGTCACCAATCAAATAGCAAATATATATCTTCAAACTTAATACTTTTACCACATTTCTGAATATTTTTTTCCAAATGGGTATTCATATATCTTAGTTTATCAGTCTATGTTTTACTTACTTAACATACATGAAAAACCTATTCAAACACAAAACTTCTAGATTTCTTCTAAATCTGAAGATCTAAAATAACCACTGAATTCCAGGCAAATATGGTTACCACACACAGCTTTGGCACATCACTCTCCCAAATTTTTTCTTAGATTGGAAAGTCCACTAATCAGCAGTGGGATAGCAGAAAGTTACCAGAGAAAAATCATTTGCTGAATTTGCATCGGGGTATGAAACTAAGGTGTCTCACAAGTAGGACAACAAAAGCATTAGCCATTTTATCACCACTTGAATTTCCTCCAATGGGACCTGTGCAACAACAGCCTTTACTAATAACAGTGGGCTGACTTACCTGTGTTGATGACAAATGCTGAAGATTGTGCAATAACATATTTCCCAATCAGGCTTTACAAAACTATATATGATAAAATCAAATGCTATTTATGGAATAAATTACAACATATAGATTTTAAGGACTGGGGTGTTACAATTTGCTAATATACAGAACCCAGACTACTGGAATGGAAATCTATTCTCTCTCTGACAGCTGCAAAAGTGATACATGGAAAGAGCATTGGCACACTCAACCCTATTTCATTTCAGGATTGAGTCCACATTATAAAACTAATTCAGCACATATTGGCTCTGAACTGCTAGCCTTATTCAGAGGGTTCACAAATGTGGCTATACTGTGCTTCACCTGGGAATAATTGATGCCGATCACTGGATGCCAAATATCCACCATCGTATTGACTCAAAAGAACATATATTTTATTTTAAATAATTAAGGTGCATTATCAGTTTTCCGATAATGGTTTTCCATGCGATTGCAGAACATTTCCATTATTGATTGCCCTCTGCACTCCTTAGAAAATAGAAAATAATGCGTAGAACATATACTTTATAAAGAAGACTTGTGATGGTTAGTGTTCCTGCTTTGGAGCCAGAAGCTCCAGGTTCATCAGCTGTACCAAGCACATGTAGAGTATACTCCACTGCGGGACTTGATGGCTAAAGAAGGTGCTTTCATAACCAGGCCAAACACGATGAGGATCAACCTTCAAATCCTTCCAACGTATGTAAATGGCGAGCAGTAAGAACAGGGGAGTCTGCTGGTCAGTCATGTGATGGAAAGAAAGTTGGAGCCTCTACTATTCTAATCCATAGCTCCAGGACTACAGCATACTGTAAATGTGAATGCTACCACAGCAACTGATTCCTTGAAGCTTGATTTCAGGAAGCAATGAGACTGACTGAGACAAAAGTTCAATTTCTATTTACATAGAGCTCAGAGAAGCATCCCAATTCCTCTGAATCCCATTAAACAAAACCTCACTGCTAGGCTAACAAAGTGTAGAGCTGGATGAACACAGCAGGCCAAGCAGCATCAGAGGAGCAGGAAAGCTGACATTTCGGGTCGAGACCCTTCTTCAGAAAAATTTTCATCCAGCTCTACACCTTGTTATCTCAGATTCTCCAGCATCGGCAGTTCCTACTATCACTCTCACTGCTAGGCTCTTCTCTGTTGGCCTGCCAGTTGATATTGTACCAAGCATGTACAGTATATTTGAATAAAGGCAAGATAGCGTGGATGCTGGAAGTCTGAAACAAACACAGAAAATGCTGGAGAAACTCAGCAGGTCTGGCAGCATTTTTGGAGAAAGAGAGTTAATGATTCAAGTCTTACATAACTCTCCTTCAGAACTGCCAGTTCTTCAGAATGCATCGCATAGCAAAAACTCATTACACAAGTGGGAGGAAAATAAAAAAGGCCAAACTTATCACTAAAAATAGATAATGGGCATTGATTTCTATGTGTGTGGCTACTTTGCAATGGATACAATGGTGTCTAACATGTGGTAACAAGAACCATGGACTAGGTACAGATGAGACGCACAGCCAAGAGCAATTGTGGCTGAACAGTCAACCCTGGGAAGAATACAATTATATAGTCAGCAGGAACTCATTGGCAAGTCATTCTCCGCCTTTTCAAGGAAGATTAGGTTCTCTTTGCACAAATTATCCTCCAGTATTTTGAACTTTTCAGTGAAGGCAAATCATGTTGTAAAATCCATTCTGAAGACTATTCTGTGACTTGCACTTTGATAGGATATGACAGATACAATTTCATGTTAAACAAATTGCTTCTTAATGGATTGGGAATGTACAAAGGGTTTGTTCATCCTTTTCAACAATGATATATATACTGATAATTGAAATGTATTACCTTTCATCTCCACATTTATGGCCTCCATGTTTATAAACATTTCCTTTGATACCGTTTGTCCATGTGAGAAACACGGACGTAGCAGTTCGAGTAGATATTGTTATCTGTGGAGGCTTTTGATGATTTAGGTTACCTGAAATGAAGGTGTAACATACATGCTATCACTGTGTGTTGAACAGGATATAATTTACCCTTTACAACAAAAAGATTTGAAATAACTATTTGTATTTTTCATTTTTAAAAACAGAACACTATTTAAGTTTGAACTTTTAAGATAAGTGTAGCAAAAACTAATTACGCGATGTAGAAAGAAAATAAAACAACAGGCCAAATCCATCACTAAATATAAATAATGGGCATTGATAAGCATATGCCATTTTTACATGTGTTGCTATTTTGCTATTGATACAATGGTATCTAACATGTGGTAACAAGAACCATGGACTAGATGCAAATGGGGTGCAGACCCAAGAGCAATTGTGGTTTTAGGCTCAATATATTAAGTGATTCTCAAATAAGTCCATTCATACAGCCATACTGAGTCAAAATTCTTCCTGACAAATGCAAGTGACAGGTTGAACAATGAATGGAGGTGGATCTAGAGATTCAGGCTGAGGGAGATACGACATCTCAGGGAACAGAAGCACAGTGGAACCTGGGGCACCAATAGCAGCAATTTCTCAAAGACAAGAATATTTCAACTTACCATAGATAACAATTGTCAGACCATTTTTATCTTGTATATTATTGATATTGAGAAATTGTTGTTGTAGGTACTCCAGATTGCATGCTGCTCCACTTTGCTGGAATGTGTTTTAGTCACGAATATAGAGAGAATATTACTATTACTGATGATAGGAAGTTAGTGGGCATGGAAAATTGAGGATCAGTCCAAGAAAAAAGTTTTGTGTGGCAAATGCAGATATGAATGTAGGTCATTATGCTTTCACATAAAGAACAAAAACTGTAAAACATATTGCAAGCAGTAAATTTTGTTATTTGAGAGAAAGAACTGAGTGTGAAAATGTGCATGAATAAGTACAATTACAGGGGGGTAAAAATTAGAATTTACAATGGGTTTTGTACTTAATTGCACTGAATACAAACGCAAAGAGTTGACAAATCCTAACAAGCCACTTTTTAAAGCCAGAATTGCTGGTGAATGTCAAGAGGCAGCAATAGAAGGACTAGTAATATTGTCTCTATCAAAAGCTTTTGCGTTAATTGAAGGCACGTGATGGTGATTAACAAGTGACCGAAGGTTGCACAGAACACACCTAAAAGAATGTGAATAAAGCTTACTGTAGTAAATGCAACAATCTTTTAAATAAACTAACATGAAGAATTTTGTTTGCTATTTCAAATCTGTATTAGTCATAAAGTTGTGAAAAGTTAGTGATGTACAGGTTAGACTAAATATGCAATTTACAGGTACCATTTAAACACAAGCAAACTGGAATCTTTGAGAGTTGATCTGTACTTGGCTCTGATTTTATTAAAAATGAAAGGGTGATTATGCATTGCAGACATTTGCCTCTGTCAGTATTGTCTAGGATTCTTCATGTATGGGTGCAAGCTTATACAGATTGGACAACGAAAGAAAGAAAATGTTGTATAAAATAAACAGAATGTGGAACTATTTCAATCTTAGGCATAATTAAGAGATAAAATTCTGAAACCTTTGCACTTTTTCTTCAAGGCTGCTTTGCTCTGTTCAGCCACAGGATGAACTGCTATGAGATATTTGGGGTAGAACTCTGAAAACAAAGCAAGGAAAGGAAGGCAAGTAAGTACAAATGTGTCACAGTAACTAATTGTTCAAGTGAATACATTGTTTATCAATAATGCCAAATGCTGTGTCAATTTTATGTTCTACTAAAATTACATCTAAATATCATAAGTGAAACTCTTACAACAGCAGTAATCCAGAATTGGAAAGTGTCGCATATTTCAATGCTATACAAACTTTCTGTTCTCCTTATCATTGGCTCTCAACCAGACTCTTCCATTAATTCTGCTCCTACTGAACATTAGAAGTGACCAATTTCTAAGAGGTTTGGGTAACTCAGATAATCGGAACACTCAAATAATCTCTCATTTAGATATATCTCCAAGAGATGAAATATGATTTCTCCAGTGGCTAATGCTAAGTCTACCTACAAAGGTTAATTCAGAGTATCATCCTCATCAAGAGTCCCTAACCCAGAATAAAATATTTACAGACTCCATGCAGTGTTTTCTGCCAAGCCATCTACACAATTGGGTGAGCTATCTTCTGCATCAAAAAGTGATCAATTTCATTTCATTATCTCTTTGACCAGTGCTTCAAAGCTATCATCAGAAAAAGGGGCAATTCTGAATGCTCTCCCAGCCCAAAAAATCGTTCTCAAAAGGTGATTAGAAACATGGCATTCAGTCCCACAAGATACAATGGGAAACAGATGGTTGCTTGAACGAGACTATTAAATGACATAAGAAGCCAGCAGGAAAGTGGGTTTTGGCTAGATGGCTATGTTCCAAGAAATACTAGCACAAACATGATGGGCAACACGGTGTGCCTTGTGATATTTTACAGTTCTGTACCCCACCTGGTTGATTTCTAGTGCTAAACAAGAAAATGTACAATTAACATTGACAAAAATCATTCGATTTACATTCTGCACTTCCATCAAACAGGAGAGACATTTAATCATATCTGCCATACCAGACTCAAATTCAAATTCAAATTCAAATTCAATTTGCTGTCAGCAAAATTTCATCTATTTGTACAGAATAGCTGCATGTCATGAAATGTAGCATATTGGAAAAGGATAAAAGTTGGAGACACAACTGTCTCAAAGTTCCTTTTACCTACCTCCAAAAAGATATCATAAGTAGCATAGGAGGAAGTGTTGGACTAGTTCTTCTGCACAAACTATCAACCCCAGCTAATGCAGGTTGGTGGATGCCCAGAAGAAAGCATTTAACGCATCAAAAAATGTAGTAATATTCAGTCTTCTATTCACTGTTGCGTGATGTCTATATACATATTTTTTAATATCAATTTAGTTCATAATAGTCTTTAGTTATTCATGTAGATTACACAATTTTAAGTCCATGAGTTATGATTTAATGTTACAATTGAGAATCTTGTGTGAACTTAACACTAGTTAAAGAAGTATTAAATAATTGTGCAAGCTTTGCACGTGAACTGTGAATTGATGGTTATATTATTTGCTCATAAGTTCTACCAGGATTTGGCAACTGTCTGTGAATAACTGAATGAATAATATGTTGACTCCACCACTAAGTTGCAGCTCCAGTTTAAATGTCAAATCCATTTCTTAACCGGATCAAGTTGTGAAAGTGGATGGCACATTGGAAATACTCAGTTCTTCAGCTGTCAACTGCATTGCACGAAGAACATCTGGACATTAGAACACTTTCACACTTGTAATAATAAGAACTTTGTTTTTGTCATGCAAGCTCCTAACACACGTTCTACATTCATTTTATTAAATACTTGGAATGTTGCTGAAAATATCATCATTAATGACCCCTTGGGCAAGATCTAAGTAATCCATGTATGGAATAAACTGCCAGAGGAAGTGGTGGATGCTGGTACAATTACAACATTTAAAAGGCATCTGGATGGGTATATGAAAAGGAAGGGTTTCGAGGGATATGGGCCAAATACTGGCAAATGGAACTAGATTAATTTGGCATGGATGAGTTGGACTGAGGGGTCTGTTTCTATGCTGCACATCTTTATGATTTCATGACTGAAATTGATTGGAAAAAGTTAAAGATTTTTCACCAAAATGCAAAACCTGTGACAAATGTTGAAATGGAATTTATGGGCAGAATCTCACCGTTTTTGGCTAAGTGAGTTATGGCCAAGTAGGTTTTCTCACCATATCTTACCAAACTTGCATTAATGGCCATTTGAGAATCATGTACTATTTTCACCCATCTTATCATGCACTGTTACTGGATCAACTCACCATTCACCAGAGAACCTGCAATGACCAGCAATTCTAGTGCTGGTGCTATCTTTAAAAGGTCATTGTGTGCCCAGATAAGCACATTTTTGAGGCAGTCTCAGCCACCTGGATAAATACTGAGTCCTGTAAGACGGTTAATGTCCTGCGCCACTTTGCCACAATTTTTCTCTGATATCTCACATTCACTCTATTTCTGCTGTTGTACCCACCTCTCACCAAGGCTCGTGCTCTACTATTCTCATAACATCTTACCCACTCTCCCTCACCCACCCAAACTGTGAAACCATTAACCTTACTTGTTCTCTGTGCTGACTACTCATCCACTTGGAAAACCTTCCCACTTGCACCAACAGTGATAGCTATGCCATCCACTTTTGTCTTCCTTAACACCTGCCTTTCTCTCATTCCAGGGACAAAATAGCTCACAATAGGGCAGAAAGAGTCAAGACATGTGTGTTTCCGCCCTTCATTTGGCTCCTCCCTCCTTATGAGCAGACGATCCAGATTCTGACCCCCACGCACCCAAGCAGGGCCTGGAAGTGAATTGACTCAGGATCCCTGAGCAATGTCTATCCGTCTTTGACATGACTGAGGCCTGCGGACAACCAGGGTAAGATTCCTGTCTTTGTGTCTGTGCTGAATGGCACAACAGGACTGTAGTGAAATAAGCCAGGCATCTCTGGATGAAGAGCCAATGTACAAAAAGGTAAGGCAAAGCAATGGAAGGCAGAGATGCTGCAAGCATCCAGGAAGACTCAAAATGGCACTATGATGGCGAGCAGAATCCAGAGGTGCAGCCTGGTCCAGTCCATGAGCTACATACATGTCACTGAGTATCAAATATCCTTGCTGCAGCATTGTAATGATAGTTGCTGGTGCAACTCAAGGAGAAGCATTGAAGTGCAGAAGCACCCTCTAAGTGGATATGAAATGTGCCATGAGTTTTCATAGAGACTGGCGCATGTTGGATGCCAATGTCCATGGATATGGGGTGTGCATGGCTAGTGCCCATGGCTGTACTCATTCAGGCAAGTAGGGGAGGCGATGGTCAAGTGGTATTATTGCTGGACTGTTAATTCAGAGACCTGGATAACATTCCAGGGACCTGGGTTCGAATCCTGCCACGACAATTTGAATTCAATAAAAATATCTGGAATTAAGAGTCCAATGATGACCATGAATCCATTGCCGATTGTCAGGAAAAACCCATCTGGTTCACTAATGTCCTTTAAGGAAGGAAACTGCTGGCCTACATGTGACTCCAGACCCACAGCAATGTGGTTGACTCTTAACTGCCCTCTGGGCAATTACGGATGGGCAATAAATGCTGCCTGGTCAGCGACGCCCTCATCCCATGAATGAATAAAGGAAGTAGATAACTTAACTCTGAGTAGTATACAGCTGCCATAAAGGTTTTCATTTCTGTGTAATCACATTTCAAAGTCAATTACCTTTTGAATTACTTGAAGTGCAAAGACTGAGTTAGAGATTAACACGAAATCATTTTATTGTGACCTCAGTGGTCCATGGAATGTGTATTTATAGTGATTACTTTTTGTGTAGATGTTTGTGTCAGTTACTTTTTTAAAAAGCATTTGATAACTTACTCCTGTTCTCTTGTGTCAATTTAAATGTTGCATTGTTTATGAGATTAAAGGCTTCCTTGTGAGCAGTGGCTTTAGGTGTAATGGAGTGATGATGACTATTGATGATGTTGTTGAATCTTGACTTAAGACCCAGTATAGATTGAGCTAAACAAAAAACCTAAGAACTGCAGATGCTGGAAAACGGAAACAAAAACAAAAATTGTTGGAAAAGCTCAGCAGGTCTGGTAGCATCTGTGGAGAGAAAGCAGAGTTAATACATACAATCAGAAAATGCTCATTCCTTGAGCTGCAGTTCATGGTTTTAGCATTTTAATGGTAAGTGTTTCATTTAAAAATAGCCACTTGCCAAATGAAGATTGAATGAATATGTGTAAAATTTGTAAACTAATAATCCAGTACTTCATCATGTTGGTTGAATTCTTGTCTCAGTGGTATTTGTACATTTCTGCACATCTGGTTTAGAAAAACTTTGGCCAGAATCTGTTGTCAAAAAGAAAACAGCAGAGCTAATAGTTCCCACCATTACTTATGTGCAAATCTGAAAGGTTTGGCTGAGTTACATGCTCTGCCATTAGCCTTGCAAAAGCTTTATCTCGCTATCTGGCTTACCATTAAAATACAGCTTGAAGTTGCTGTATTTGTGCAGATGATATGAACTGAACTTGTCACTTAAATTTAGGACCCGACGAAAAACATATGGACTCAGTCCTAGAGCCAGTTGAGGTCTGCATTTATTTTTTTAAGTCTGAATTAGCCATAAGTCCTTTCTTTAATGATGTGCTAAATATTAATTATCAACAAGGAATCATTTTAATACTAAAAGTTAACTATTAACATCATGAAGACTCATTCCTTAAGGTTTTTACTGCTGGAGGCATTAAAAACCTAATATATAAAATTAAATCCTTCTTTCACTTTTCCTTTCATCCTGCCTTAATCTATATTTTTATTTATTTTTGTTCCAAAGTCAGTAGATTTAGCCGTTGTGTCATGGAAGTGTTTTCTTGAATCTAATGATGGAAAACATATCTAGAAGTAGAAAAACTGTCATCAAACACCAAGGGAGATTTCTTTAACAGTGGATAATTTGATTATTGTGAGCAAAGAATTGCAATTGAAGTTCCAAACCCAAGACTCTTTTATGCAGATTCATATAAAACAAAGGAAATGGAAATCATTCCTCACATTTATCATGAGTTTCCTATAAGTAATTCTGTCCTCATTAATCAAATGACAATTCCAAATGTTGTCAAAAGGAAGGGGAATTTAATGGTATAATGGGAGAGGTGATGAGCATGCATTTCTTTTGTAAAATGTCATTCTGCTGCTATACATATGGTTTTAATTTTTCTTCCTTTAAGCGGAAACATATGGCTTTGAGTTCTTACCAACATCAACCTCAAATGGATCTCCATTGTTAGGCAATGTGAGGTTCTGCTTGGTGTTTCGACCACCGTGTCCAATAATGTAGCCTTGAAGTCTGATGGCTGGGTTGGAGCTAAGGTACTGTAATATAATAGTGTCATCCTTAGCAGTAATCCGCACCTTTAAGCTTTGTCTTTTAACTGGAGGTAAATCACAAAGAAACAAAATAAAATTTGTTAAATCCTGAAAATATACAAACTAACCCACAGAGCCAGGATAATAGATATGTATAAGCAAGAGCACCTAATACCTTAAAAGCATAAAGAAACCAGCCAAAAATCATTGCTGTTGTCCTGAAAAACTTGGCATGGAAGCAGCCCTCACCTTTCTGGGCATTGTCTTTGATCTGACTATTGACACCTTGGAGCTAGAGGGGAAAATAGCCTGCAACAACAACCCTCGGTTGAACTCAGGAGGCCTTGTGTAGGATTAGTACCCTGCACAAAAAAAATGGTTAGGTCCAAGCAACCCGAGATATTGAGCCTCAGACTTCATTATACTGAAGGTGGCACTGTAATAAGAGCTTGCACAGGTAAGTGATCGGGTCAAATCATGGGGTTAAAGAGATATTAGGGTTCACTGAGGGAGACATCAGGGCAATTTAAATTTGAGAAAAGGATCTCGAGCAAGCATCAGTCTCCTTATTTAATCATGCCAAAAACCTAACAGCAAGCACAGGAAAGCATCCCCCTTGTTTCTCCTTATGTGAAACACTGGCCAGAAGCATGCAGATGCTTGCTGCTGCTGTTTTGATGCCTTAGGAAGCCAATTAGAAATATGAGCCAATTTAACCCTCAAAAGGCCCATGATCAACCCCTTCCACCAGAGCTTGTAATTTACAGACAAAGAGCTGCACAGTGGTCACTATAAGGTTGGTCACTGCCCAAGGCCTAAGTCTGCTGCAGCCCAAGAGAAACAGGATTAACAGCAGGATTTATATCTAAAACAAAATTCATTCTCAAGAAAAATACCAGTGTTGGAAAATAGAGTGGGCCTTCCACTTGTCTGCCCACATCAGTATCAAACAAATTAAAGTCATGGCTCAGCCTAAGGAGTGAACACACTGCTCTATTTCTCTCATTGATTGTCCTTAGAGTAAAAAAATTGAACAAAGCCATTTGTAAAATTCTTACACACAGTTGGTGGAGGAGGAGCCCAGAAGTCAAACTTGACTCAATTTTTGATGTATTCACATTACTAGCATTTAGTTCAAAAACTTACATTACACTACCGGTTTCAATAAATGCCTCTTCTATCCTTTTGAGCAATCAAATAAACCATTAAACAAGTAAACAAATTTTAGGAAACAAAGCTAGTCAAGTATTGAGAGTGTTGGTGAGGGGCATTTTGGTGTATGTTGTAAACTCAGTGATTTATAAATATATTTAATATAATTTATTGTAAATTTGGGATTTTGGTTTTTGAGTTAGAAGCATGTTGGTTTCCTATGTATCTTACATTAATAACTTGTAAATATTTCTGTAGCCATGGTAATTTCTTTAAAAACAGGTGTGGAAGGCTAGCTTTAGAATGAATGGATCTTCCTGTGTAGCACTAATTCATTTTTGTTTACCTTGGGTTGTGTTGCAACCTGGCAAGGTAAATGAGGAAGCCTCAAGGTATGTAGAGATTTCTGGAGCTATTTTTAATCATGAGGAAAGTGTGAGATTTTTCTTTAGTTTTACTTTCAGTTTTGAGGAATCCTGTGAGGTTCTCGGATGAAAATAGTTATATAGATCAGTGCTCATGAGAAGGGAAAGATATAGTGAAATTAGATTACCTTGGAATAAAAAGTCACGTGTAATTTCCAGAGCAGAAATGTTGAACTAAAACCTTGAAGAGATGACTTAATGCTGAGTATTTTTAATTCAGGAGTCTAATCACTCCAGGAAGAAGTTATCAGTAGTTACACCTATAAGTTAAAGATAGAAGTGACTTAAACCCATTGAAATGTTAGAGACAGGGCCTCTGATGTGAATATCATACAAGGTGTGTTTTGGAATATTTTACTAGGAGTGTGCTTTGGGTACCATACAAAAAACATTGTTTCCTTGTTAATTTATGTGTTGGGATTAAAGTGATTATACTTTTACTGTGTCTAAAAATCTTTGAATTTGTATAAAAAATAGTTTGTTTTATTCTATTTTATCTTAATTTCTTCTGTTAATAAACTTCTGGTTTATTATTAAAGCAAAATTAGAAGTATTGTGTGTTCTGTTTCAGTGAGAGACCGCATTACTAAAACCAAACCAAAATATGATCTATCACGTCAGGCTTTGTTCTATGATCTTGTCTGCTGATAACACCAAGTGGAATCATAACAGGTGGTAATGACCATAAATCTGTAAGATTTAAGTTAGGTGTAGAAAAGGTCAAAGTGGGAATAGAAATCTGAATTGGGGGAAGGCAATTTTAATATGATAAGATAGGATCAGATCAAAGTGGACTGGAGGCAGCGACTTGCAGGAAAATCTACATCACAGCTGTAGAAATCTTTCAAAGGGAAACAGCAAAAGTGCAGGGCCAACATGTTTCTGTAAACATGAAGAATGGAACCAAAAATCTAGAGACAGTCCTGGATATCGAGGCATGTACCGGAATTTGGTAAGGGAAAAAGGGAAGTTCAAGTCGATATCAAGGCTAAATATAGGAAAAGACCTAGAGGAGAGCAAAGAGGAGGCATGAAATAAAAACGTGGCAGATAATATAAAGAAAATCCAAAGTGTTTTATAAGTATATTAGAGGCAAGAAGATGACCAGGGGAAGAATAGGGCCCATTAGGGACCAAAGTGGCAATCTGTGTGTTGTACTGGAAGACATAGAACATTTTAAATTAGCATTTAGCATTCCACTATTGAAAAGGATAATGCAGATATAGAAATCAGGGTTGGGGTCCATAACAAACCATCAAATTAGAATTGAGAGGGAGGAGTTATTAGCAGTTTTAGTGAACTTAAACTAAGTAAACCACCAGGCCCAGATGAGATGTATCCTAGGCTCCTGTCGGAAACAAGGGAGGAGATTGCTGGGACTCTGAAATTAATTTTCAAATCTTCTCTGGCCACAGGAGTGATGCCAAAGGACTGAAAGACAGCTAATGTGGTACTATTATTCAAGAACTATAAATCAATGAGTTTAACATCAGTGGTGGGGAAACTATTGAAAAAACATTGGAGAAACAGCATTAATCACCACTTAGAAAGGTAAGGATTAATCAAGAATAGCCAGCATGGCTTTGTCAGAAGGAGACCATGTTTGAGAAATTTGAGTGCATTTTTCAGAAAGGTGGCTAGATGCTTGGATGAGGATTGTGCAGTTGATGTAGTCAACGTTGACTTAGGAAGGCCTTTAACAATGTGTCAAGAAATTAAGAGCTCATGGGATCCAGTGCAACTTGGCAAATTGATTCCAAAACTGGCTTATTGACAGGACGCAGAGGTAAATGTTCAAAGTTTTTTTCTTGTGAATATTTGTCTGTGTCCTGTGGTGTGCTACAGGTTTTGGTCTATGTCTCATGCTGATTGTAATGCACATTAATGATCTCCACATGAATGTAAGAGGTTTGATCAGTAAGTTCACAGATAACACTAAAATTGGTGGAGTAGTAAATAGTGAGATGGAAATTCTTCGGCTACAGGATAATACAAATGGGTTGGGCAGAGGTGCAGAACAATGGCAGATGGAGTTTAATCTGGACACGTGAGGCAATGCATTTTAGGAGGACTAACAAGGCAAGTGAGTACAAAATGAATGGTAGGACTCTAGGAAGTACACTGGATGGGAGAGACCTTGATGTGGATAATCACAGATCTGCAAAATGCAACAGGGCAGGCAGATAAGGTAATTAAACAGGAATATGAGATAGTTTTTATTAGTCAAGGTATTAACTACAAGATCAGGGAGGTTATCATGGGATTGTATACAAAGTGACTTAGGCACAGCTGGAGTACTGTGTTCAGTTCTGGTCACCACATGATAGGAAGGATTACACTTGACAAGGTGTATAAAAGATTCACCAGGAAGTTGCCTGGTCTGGAGTGATTCAACTATGGAAAGAGACTAGAGAGGTTGGAGTTATTTTACTTAGAACAGAAAGGGCTGAGGAGTGATCTGATTGAGGTGTACAAAGTTCTGAGGGACATAAAAAGGTAGATAGGAAGAAACCTCTCCCCTTAGTACAGCGGTCAATAACCAGGGGGGCAAAGTTTTAAGGTAACGAGTAGGCGATTTAGAGGGGATTTAAGGAAAATTATTTTGCCTAGACCGTGCTGGGTATCTGGAGCTCACTGCCTGAAAGGATGGCAGAGATGGGAACTCTCGGTACATTTAAGAACAATTTGGATAAGCACTTGAAATACCATAGTATATAAGGCTATGGGCCATGAGCAGAAAAATGGATTAGAATAGTTAGATGTTTGATGACCAGGAGAGACATAATGGGCTGAAGGGCCTCTTTCCAAACTGTAAAAACTCTATGGCTCTACGCCTTGCAGTTATTCATTACCAGTTGGATAATTTATCCTTTGTCAGGATTGCTTTAAAAACTGAGGTTTCAACAGTCAGGTTCAGGTCAATATTTACACCTACCCACCTTGATTAGTTAAGAAACTTGGGATTCTAATATCATGGATCATTTAAAGAATCACAGAAAAGCACATCATTTGACATTTACTGTGTACAGGCTTGCTCCAGGAACATTCACTGTCTCTTCATTGCTTAACTGTAGTAACCTTTTATCTAAGTTTTCTTATTAAGCATTGCAAAGGTTATCCAACTGCTCTGTGCCAGAGTTTATGACCTCCAGTTACCTTGTCACAGCTTATCTAAAACTGTTAGCATATCTTTGCATTTTTTTTCTATCTCATACTAGTCCAGCTTTCCTTTCAATGCCATGTATGCTTAATTCTGAAACGGAAAGGTTTACTTTCCTTAATTTACAGCCCAACAATTGTCAAATTAGGAGTGTTTTGGAAAGTATTTTTTCTTTTGTATCAACTCCATACTAGTATATGTCCCAGTGGTTTTGCAGTGCTTCAGAAAATGATGAATGCTATTCACATAAAAATGTATTAAGAGTTGCTAAAGAGTTATACCATTTTGAAAATTTGTCGTCCCTGGAATATACACTTAATTCAATAAC